GTACAGGAAGGGCGTCTAGTCTACTCTCGAGCCTGGCTGCTGTTCTGAACCTTGTGGCTGCCGTACGTCTTGTTGAGTTCAGTGTTATATGCAGACTTTATGGCATTACCCGGAGTACCACAAGCGTGTAGCGATTGTACCCAATATATCAACTGTAGCTACTGATAGGTAGGTGGTGTGATGCTGTGGCATTCAGGTTCAATGTGAAGTGGTCTGTGTCTGGAAAAGGACATGTGAAACAATAAGAGGTCAAAAACCACATACAGCATATTGATATCACTGTACCATTAGAAAGGAACAGGCCTTATGGTTAGTACGACGTCGTTACGTTTATTGACACCTGTACAAACAGAGTGCAGCACGCGAGTAATCCAAACTTACCTTATCTTTCAGTTCGAAAGTTAATCCCATGGTTAAATCAAAAATCCATATTGCGAAGAAGCGCTTTCTTTTGGATAACTCTTGTCAGGCATTACATTGATGAGAACGTGTAAATGAACTCAGTATGCTGGTGAAAGCAGAACTAAGGTTAGTACAGTTGATTTGAACATTGCTGGTAAAATCAAACAATATTAATGTCGATTCCCTTCGGTCAAGTCTCGTGACGGCCAGTGGGGATAATCGCGCTGATTGCCTTCAGCGTCCAACGCGGGAGAAGTGCCACGGTGCCGTGGTAATAGGACGGCTTGCACAAGAGACTTTTGCTTTCAAAGTTCCGATTCGGTCATATTGATTACAATTGTTTCGGTCGTATTCAACAGCCATTTACTAAGCTCCTTATGATAGTGTTTTAATAGAGCGCAGAAGACTGTGAAGGCATCTTCTGTCCGTATCTCATGACCAATTTGAAGCAAATGCTCCATTATGGCACTATTACGGTTGCTGGCGGCGCCCCTTCGCAGAGATGCTGGACAGTGCTCCGCTATCCATATGGAGAGAGGTCTGATTGTGTGCCCAATGTATCTTACACCATAGGTATAAGTAAACTGATAAAGAACATATGATTGGGACTGAACCGGTAGTCTGTCCTTAAGGCGTTGCGTGATAAACGGAGCAGTCTGTGTAAGAACGCGAGGGTTGGCGGCTGGGTAGGCTTTAGCAATTGCGTTTGAGAGTCGTCTGCTCAGCAGATCGTAAACTACATCCCCATGGAAGGGAACAGAGAGAAAGCCATCTTTCTTCCGTGAGGTCATGACAGGTTCTTGGTGTATATCAACAGTGGAGTGTTATCTGATGAACGGGTCGGAATAACTATTCTCTTGCAGCATTCTAAAGATGCGGTCTTTATCCTTTTCCAATGTTTCCGGGCTACAATTTTGGTAGCACGATAGAACAAGCAGCTCACCGAATTTTGTTTATACTTCAAAGGTACAAATCTTAGCAAGTGTGTGTATTGGCCTACCCACGTAGCCTTCCGGAAGACACTTCTTTCAAGTGATCCATCCTCCCGTCTCTTTAGCAAGACGTCCAGGAAAGCTAGTTTGCCATCGCTTTCAATCCCACTGGTGAAATGCAGCGACGGATGCGTCTCGGTGAACTGACGTAGCAAACTAGCAACATCGATACTAGAGTCACAGACAATAAATCCATCGACCATGTACCTCCAGTATGTATCGAGCGAAGCGATAACTGATTGGAGAGGTCCACGTTCAAGTTTGGTTGGGAAGGCATCCGCAAGAGGCGGTCCGACAGAAGACCCACAGCCACACCGTCTATCCGTCTGTACTACACCCCATCAAATAATAACTGTCTGTTGAACGTACATTGCAGAATTAGTTCCGTTAGTTTGTATGTTGGAATACCAACGTCTATGTTCTTTTCCGTTGTGTACTCAATCAGGGAATTAACGGTCTCTATCAAGGGGACGTTGGTGAAGAGTGCTTCTACGTCAAAAGATAGCATCACCTTGTCGTCAACTTTTGAGTTCTCTAAGTAGCTGACAAATTCAAATGAGTCTTTCAGTGTGTGCGTGGATAATTCTGTACTTACCGGTTCCAACACATCAACAAGCCATTTTGCGACCGAGTGGAAGGCTGAGGATGACATATGAATTCTCGGACGCAATGGAGTCCGTGGCTTGTGCACCTTAGGTAACCCATACAATCGAGATGGGAGCCCACTGGAGTTAGCCGATCAAACAACGTGTCATTGCTCTATTTCATGTGCATTAATTCCTTCCAATTATTCATGAGTTTTATCTCGTCATCTGCGGTCTTATCCTTTTGACTTGGTTCCCGCAGCAATTTGCTTGAGTCTTGTAAAATGGTGAAGTTTGGAGACGTAGTCAGAGCTGTCCATTAGCACCCATCCAGACCATTTAGCTGGTGTTGAAAGCATCAAATCAGGATTGTATTTCAACTCTTTGATGGCTTCTTGATGGTTGTTGGATAGGAGGTTTGATGCTTTCGGCTTATAGTCACGATATTGTTGTGTTAGGTGCACCAAGGTGATTTTGTAGGTGTGATCTGCATGTCAACCTAGTTACTTGTTGCATCAAGTTTTAGAACTGGGTTTCGTTATGAACTTGCTTAGTAATCATAATGAAAATGCACCTGTTCACGTACACAAAGCCTATTTTGGTATGGCTTGAGTTGTCGCTGGTAGCTATAACCGCATCTCTAATTATCATGCGATTATTTATCTCAAGACACGTCCTGGTTCACGTGTTTGACATTTTTCATAAAGTAACAAGTGCACCTTCTGAGTTCCCAGAATCAAAATTTTTTGGTAACCCGTGTGTTACTTTTCCACTACGTGACTGCATACATCCACTCTCGTTGCCTATGCGATTCTCAGGTTACTTTCACTGAGTTTAACGGGAGTACACCTTGCTTGTACGGGCGACAAAGCATGTTTCCGCACAGAGTGGATGATTTTGAGATAGCGCAGTTGATTTTAGTAATTTAGTAAGCTTTCCACACATTTATCAGTTCTATGGTGCCCTAAGTGCTCCTTTTCACTAACATCACGAAGAGCTATCGTAAGCTTTATCAGATTATTCTACGCGCCCAGGATTTAGAGTTCTCGTACTACATCCCATGTTATTCTAACTGGTACATTTACTATTTGGTCTAACGGAAGACATTTTTGGGACTCCAGACCATTTGCTCTAACATCGTGTGCGCATAGCTGATTACCTGTACGTTACATTTTTGTTAATGTTTCTGTAGTATATCCACGACCAAAAATGCAACACCTAAAAACGCAGCCATTGTGACGCATATGTTAATTTTGACTTGACCTAGGTCCGAACTAATTGACCCGGCATTTCAAAAACATGAGGTCGTGGTCTTGTAGATGTTACTGCACTCGATCCGAAAGATACGGAATCGCAGCAAAGTGTGTTCCACTGATCGATCTAGCAAAACTCCGAAATGGAACACGTGGAGTTCGATGTTCCTGGATGCCTGGACACTGAAGAAAGGCGAAGTTCAGGCTGACTCGATCACCTAGACCAGTGTTTCACAAAGGGTGTTTGGCGGACCCCCAAGGGGTCTGCGGAATGCTTCCAGGGATGCGCAGGATTTCCCGAAATGTTATAATTTCTTTAAAATATTTTTAACGCGCTTTTTACAGTTCGATGACAAACGCGGTGAAAACTTCTTAACTTATATCTGACAGTCCACATTAGCCTAGTGATTGACCAAGGTAATACAAACTCCTACCGAAAAGTAACATGGGTTTGGCAGAGGCTTAAAATGTCAGTGAACTAAGCTGTCAGATGTGGTGTGGTAATCGCTTGTGATGCGGTTGGTAGAGGCTGAGTGGGTCATTCTCCGTCCACGCAGGCCTACATAACTCAGAATTTAGAGGAGAGATATGGCCCCTTTTTGCGGTAATTTCGAAATCGCTACCCTCAGAAATCGGCCACTTGGAATGAGAGACCCATTGGTGCGATCCCACCCAGGGACGTCTAGAACGAAACGGTGGAGCTTTCGGTATTTGCTGAGTGTGCCCATTCGACTTTGGGAGTTGAGATGAGGCTATCTATGCGAGTTTACAGAAGGTGCTCGTTATGTTTGCTTTATACTTTTAACATTCGACTTATCAAAGTAATTAAATTGGTGGTTTGTTCTGCAATTCTCGTGTTCAATTATTTAGTTTCATTTTGGTATTTGTACGCATAAAATAAACATAAGCCATTAGCTGAAGACAAGAACATTGATTATGTGTCGCAGAAATATTCATACCTGAATTGGTACTTGGTATCACCAAGTGTCGCTGTCTGATTTCTGGTGTAAAAAAGGACTTGTGCCCTGTTATAGCGAAGACGGCTGTCGCCGTGCTTCACCTATTTGTCACAACTTATTCATGTGAAAGTGCATTTTCGCATTGCACATATATAAAAACAAAGTGACGCAACAGACTTGATGCTCAGTAACTCTAATCATCAAAGAAGTCAACACTGCAGGTCAGAAACAGTTTCATCAGTCAAATTAATGATTGACATATGTTGTCTTTTATACCTATATTCAGCATCTTTCATTTACTACATTAAGTGAACACCCGTGTTAGTTCAGTGTACAGTAATGAACGTTTTCAGGACACTCCGCTTCCTTCTCAGTTTATCATAGCCTAGTCCTGTGGTTAACAACATCCACCGTGCGAGCTTCCACTAAAGAGAGGTCCATGGCCCAAAAGTTTGAGAACCGCTGACCTAGTCGACGGTGCTGCTAACTACACGGCGCCGAACCGACACCCATTGCTATGGACATGGCAACTGACACTACACCGCATATCACGCGTGCGGTCCGGTCAGCCTAAATCGGACAGACGCCTTAGTCCAATGTCAACGGGGCAAAATGTCCGGGAGCTGTTCTTCAGTGAACCTATCAAGTGATTGGTCAGTGGTAGTGCGTCGGTGTAGACGCAAACCTGGCTGACTCGTCACTGCCACTCGTTGTGACAGCGCCAATCGGAAGCAGCTGTGACCTGGAAAGGAGGCGTGACCAATTTACCCAGTTTATCAGTTGAACATCTCGCGTGCGCCCAACACTGCCATGTACTACGCCGCTCAGCGATCCGCATGCCGTATTCCCTTGAACGAGTCCACTCACGCCCCGGTAATAGGCCAGTCCGCGTCCGACTGTGCATTGAGGCTTAACTGTGACCAACACCGTCCACTGGCATCAAACTACATCCTCGCAGGCATTTCTCGTCAAGAACCAGTCGTTGTTTCCAACACCGTGGATCCCGCTGTTGATTTGTCCCAACATTTTATTCCATGTACTGGGTATAGCTCGAATCCTCCGTTGAAAAAGGTTAGTCGTGTGCTATTTGTGAATGTTCTACTTTTTCGTTGGTCTGAATGGAATGATTCTCTCCCACAACCAGCCACTCTTGGACAAGTGTGAATGATACTCACCAGGGTGGGTGTTGCAGGTTGACGTAACACTCGATGGCTTGTCATTATCCGTTGTTGCACGCAACAGCTGATGTATTAAAGTTCCCTTTGCTGATGCGAATGGATTTGTGTAACTGCAGTTAGGACGCGTACGCAAATAAACTTGCATCACGGCACATTTGCTTCACCCCGGTTAAAAGTGTCGTTACTTGTGTTTTACTTCTATGAAGGATCAGAGGTGATGTTGTCGATCTAGGTGTGAACATTCAGACGCACTCAACGCGTTTGTCTGCGTCACTTTAATAGTTGAGATGTTTGACGTTACACGAATAGCACACGCAACAGCATTACCAGTATGGCCTCATTGGCTGGTAACCTTGACCAGTTTATTCTCACCTGGCCTTCAACAGATTTCTATGGTGGACCCAATACTTGATCATGATCATCGTGTTAATAGATTGCACGTAGACGCCACCCACATCGACCAGGTATTGTTAGGCTCCTTTCATCTAGCCTACACTAATCACGTCGTGAGCAACCACACTGCGTTCGTATCTTGACTGACGGATTTGGCTAGAGCGTTCTGCGCGTAGCGTCCGCGGGATCCCGACGCCACTAGACCCACGGATGTGCGGATGAGCAATCACGACCTCGCCCCAATTATTCCAGAGTCATTATTATACATCTGTCTCTAAATTTCGCTACTGCTAGCTCCGGTCTTGACTTCGCCTCCAATGTCTACGCATTAGAACGTCCCGTTTACTTTGCAAAGTTCTGGGTTGTGCGCTGTCTATTGTCTTCCTTTCGGTTCCCATTGAACCAAATCTACCTGACATCTCGTTAGCGAGAGCCACCTTGGACCACATATATTTTCTACGAGAGGATCCCATCTGTCTGCCTCCATCGATATTGAATCAGGTGATGGCGAGCTTTGCCCACCTTCGAGCATTCCGTGTGACTTTCAACCAAGGTAGGTTTAGATCTGGGTCCACACTTCCTACACTATTTCGCCAGCTAGCGGTTCGCTCCCCAACCCCAAACCAAGAAAAAAATTTTTCTGCTTCGTCGCGCGCTGATCCGTATGGTCTGGGGCCTGTTCATGAATTGCAGCCGCATGCTCCCCAGAATCTTTAAATCTGGTGACCTTCACTGTCAACCATAGAAGAGTGCTTGCCTGCCACGTAATCTGGCCATTTTGTTGTCTATCTCAACAAGACGTAGAAAGTGATTTCTACTCTTTGTTCATGATGCGACGTATTATATGCCCCCTCCGTGCAGATTGGTAATGCAGGTGTTCTGCACGGGTTCCTTTAGCGATCAACCTATTTGTCTAACATAGTATGTCCTAAATCCCACTCTTAGTGTCTGGCTGCGTATGGAGGCTGCGGTTCACGTAGTCACGAAATTGATTCTTCGGGTTCTTCAAGTATTGGTTCTCATCGACTCACTCGGAGTTAGACGGTCTACCGATAGTTTGAACTCAGGACTACATCAACGGTTTTCCAAATCTACTGAATCAGTGTCAAGGGGGCTTAACAAGCTGGATCGTTGCCGGTCAGATTCACTGTGTATTTCCAAAATTTCGCTGATGCCACTGTTAGTACGAGTCAGTGCATTTTGAAGTTCATCAGGTGTAACGACCATAAAATGTTATCGTTCTTTGCCTTCCTCCACCATAGCACTGATAAAATTTTCCGCATTAATCACGATGGTCTGTGGACTCTTGACAAAATGGGATCCGAATATGCTGTCGTGTCGTGTTCTATGCAGGGACTGACGGTGAAATTCACCATATCCGGCTTCTTTCTTGATCGTTAGCTCATTAGTTTGTAAGCACTCCCAAGCAATTGAATCCGATGGTGTCATTTTCTTCGACTCTTGTTAGCAAGTTGACGGCGAAAGCAGCCACATTTTCTGCTTATGGCTGGAATATCTAGTAACTGCGGAAGATACTCGATGTCCTACCGGACTGTCAGTGCCCACTATTCGCTAGCTGTCATCTGTTCCTTTAATGAGTCACCCATCCATCTATGTTTGGTAGATCACATTGCTGTCAATTCTTGCTGACTGCATTCTTCAAACTGTATTTCTGGCCACTTTTACTCTAAATTGAATAGGTTCTTCATTGGTGTGGTTAAATGACAGGAAGTAGCTGACGTGGAACTGAGTAACCTTGGTGGGCACTGTCTGATGGGTGTTCCAGCCCTTCAGTAAATGGGGACGCGATCCAACGTAACGCAGTCCAGGGGATGAGGTTGCTATAGTTGTGGTACTTAGTGAATTGCCCCCGTCCGCCCATCCCAACAAATTTCGTATCGACGTTTCCGATCGGCATTCTCCATTTCTCTTCCTCCGCGACGTGTTTCACTATCTTCAGTTCTTACGATCAGCACAATTTCAGCGATTGGCTAGTGATTGCTACACTGAGCCGAGGAAAACAGGGTTTATTCCTCGAATCATCTACTTGATAAGGGTAGGGTGCATATCGCAGTCAAGACGTTCTGTCCTTCACTCCACCAAACTCTGCAGTAGTTTGCTCATCCTCTCTATAGACTTCATTATGCACATCGCAATTCTGATGACGAAATGGAACCGACCTAACTATTTCTCGTGCTTGTGCCGATCGGATCGTTTCAGTTGTTACCGACTGGCCGTAATTGACAGTTAGCCTCTTGCACTGGGGTGTGCATTGGTTCCACGCACTGATTTTTGTTTCCCTTCTCAAATATAAGGCCTTCCTTCCCCGTGCGGCGCTTGCGAGCTGTCATGTCCTTTATTTACTTCAACGTCACCCCCATTTCTCAGTGTTAGGGATCTTGAAACGTGAGCGCTGATGATTAATTGCCATGACACATTTGGTGGCAGCCCCCACGACGATTGCCTGCTCGTCACGTGACCTATGCAACGTTTGTTGCAATCTCATTCAGCTACATGATTGCTCTGAAAAGGCACCCAGTCGTTCCGGGGGTCGGGTTTGTTTGGATGCGCACTTCCTTTTCGCGTCTCTGGCGTCCTTGTGCTTAAACCCTCCCACCCTCCATTTTTCCGACAGCGAAATAAGCCGTTGCTGGAAAAGCGGCGCCGCCAACGCATCAATTCAGCACTGGATGAACTGAAGAATCTGATGGCGCACAGCGAGCCGACCTCTACAACACCAGCTACCAAGACGGTACGTCACATGTGTTCCGTCCGCACAAATATGCTTTGACTGTTCTCGGTAACTCACCTTCTAATCTCGGTGTTGCACTCTCGTGGTTCCGACCTAAATGCAAATGCTGTCATTCTTGTGCTATTGCTTACCGCGACGTCATTTAGCGGGCTAATTGCGTAGTCACATTTTGAATCCTGGTCCCTGGAAATTAAAGCCTACTCTAATAACAAGAAGCCAACTCACTTCTGTAAGAGAAATAACCTGTCGAGTATGTATTTTGCATGTGTGACCATCCCGCGAGAAGCATGTTTAGAAAGAGGGATCGTGTGCTGAGATCGCACGTCAGACGGATAGTGTGACACTCTTCCCACTTGTGGTACGTGAGCTGGCGTCATAGTCACTTGGTTGTGGCCCGAGTGCGCGAAATTTGGATAAGCTCTCCGACTGACTCATGTGAATCGAGATATTAGTATGGCTAAGTGTGAATAAGTGCCATAGTCTGACCAGTTTACAAACCGTGTCATCATCACCCGTAACATTTTGCTCCTTTCCATCTGGATATCGTTTCGCATCCCGAAATACCCACCAAGTGGGACCCTATTCCATGTGACAGTTCTCAGTACTGTCGGTTTCACATCAGACGTTTTTATGACGTGTGACACGGCACTGTCCCGGTTCATATTAGCAATAACTCGGAATCACTTACGAGACTCTCCGCCAATATTGAAATAGAAGAACCAAGGATGCACGCTTTGGTGCGCCCTACCTCCTCCAACACTTAAACAGTACCTAGTGTTCGGTCATTCCTAAATGATTTTTACAATTACCGGGTGCTGAGACCCTCATGTAGTAAACACGTTAGTTCGCCGCATGTGTCCAAGTGGGATCATGCCCCCGTCCAAACCTTATCATGACCATGAAAAACAACAGTCCCTGTAGCTTCCAGACAGTTGCATATTGTCTCCCGAAGTAGGCGCTCATCATATGGAACCAAGAATAATCTTATAATATCCTCTCTTCTTGCACAGCACCTCAAATTGGAAAAGGCCAACATTCTCGAACAAGTGGTCTCATTTGTTAAAGGCGCTGTTAGTGGTAAGTGAACGTTGCTGTAATCTATTGACAATCATGTCGGCTACATTCGGTCCCCAGGCAAATGTGATCACGCAGCATGCTTGGCATCTATTTTCTGCTTGGTTTGACATGTTACTGAAGTGCATGTATCCTTCGTTCTCTTGAGATTTACATTTCTCTCCGTGTCCGCATTGCAGCTAACATGTTAAAGGAGCTATGCAGTTTACGGACAATCTACCTTGCGCGTTACATGAATCCGGTTCGCTCATCGCACTCTCCCAACCCTCCCCCCATCGAACGAATACAGGTTCATCAGTATACAGACATCATCCTGCAATGTCTCAAACCTAGTCAAATCGGTGATATTACTTGATCACAGTACTCCGAATTTCCAGGACCACAATTGCGGCTTAAAATAGTGAAGCCGAATTGTCGCAACCACACCATTTCTGAAGTTGCATAAGTTCGTATGTTGCAACTTGCATGCGCAGTTCATAAAACTCCCCTAATTCACGATATTTGCAAATATCTAAGTTGGCCTGCGTTTACAATAGTAAAGCCACTGGTTATAACTATTCACCGGGCTACAGAAGAGTCTTTTAGGAACGAATCTGCTGCCCATCGCTATCCCAGTTAGTGACTGCCCGATTGAGTTTAAACAAATGAACTTATTTTTGTCGACGAAACGAGACAGCCATGTATCGGCATGATCGGGTAAGTGCATACTTGCCTAGAAGCTTGGCAACAAGTTGAAGGACAGCAAAGGCCTGACACATGTTTGACTGAAATCAAACGATGTTGGCTGGTTTTTAACTGCTCTCTCACCTACCTTACTGTAAGACAGCTAACTCACAGAAGACAGCACGATGGAGAACTATATAATGGGTACTATGATACCTGGGCTTGACTTGTTTTTATGGAATAGTCGAATAGTTTGGTCATGTTTTGTACAGACAAGAATTTGTTGATGCTTTTGCGACATTCGTGTTAAAGAGTCTAGGCACGTATTCCGTTTGGTAGTTTGTTCAAGACTGGCGTATTTGTTAAGGAAACAACGCGCAGACCTGCTGGTTCTGGACTTGCATTTTGTCACTGAGTTCTGTTAATGTCGTGTTGTACACGGCTGTTTGCAACAATGTCATGCTGAGGTTGGAAGCGTGTCTAGTTCTGTGTATGATGTTAAAAATCTCGCTAGATTATGGTTCGTACGCCGTATCCACAGCGGACCAAGCTTAAGCTTATTCCATTGTTCGAAATATTCCAGTTTTTAAGCAGCATCTAAAAGACGTTTGGCGAAGGTGTTCTGTACCTGTTCGAAAATAAGCGGCCACACTGTTTTGAACTGCTACACACCATCAAACAATATCGCAACGTGGGTTGAGCATTTGAGACATAAGAATGAAGTATTAAAGTTGTAGGCAAAAATTCCAATGTTGCGCCTTATTCTCGCAGTATCACAACCTACTTGCTCAAGGAATTCAAGTGAGCATGAATATCGCAATTTCAGGTCTAGTCTCATACGCTCTTTTACTTCACATAAACCGGCCTGGCAGGGACTGCTGAGCGGGAAAATGTGGGCAGTAATTGGTTGGACAGGGTGTGATGCGGTCTTTGTTTTAGGCTTTTCAACATCTCAAGCAGACCTTGTAATTCCCGATCCGACGACACGCAAAAGAAGGAACATTCACGGGATTATCCTATCGTTCCGGTCCCAACTGAACTTGAACTTGTACAAAAAAGATTAAGTGGTTTGTTGTTAGCTGTAGGGAACTCTGTTCGGACTATTTAGATATTTTAACGTCCCGTTTAAGATCAGTGTCTTAATCAACTCGGCTGCCTAATTTGGGGAAGCAATAGCTGTAGGGTTACTCGGTTTTCCACGCTGCGGCGACAGACACGAAGGTTGAGAGACAGTCGCGTTTCATGTCATCTGGTTAAAAACGTCATTTTTCGACATCCAGCACGTTTTATTTCGTTTTGCTGAGGTCATTCATTCCCTTTGACAGGCCCCAAGGCAAGTGCGTCTTTGCCTATGTGATTTGTTCGAAATTTAATACTTAACCATCTTGTTCCGACATGCTTTTGTTACACAGCAGCGCAAAAACGTGGTGCAATTCCCAAGGCTGATCCGGAACACAATTTGCTATTGGTCCGCACGGAGGCGTTTATCCAAGGCTTCTCATTTTGCGAGGCTACCGTCACTCGCATTTTTGATGATATCCTTCGAAATGCGAGCCACGAGCAACCGGGAGCGAGGACAGCAAATATGACGTGCGCGTCGGTTGTTGGGGAATCAGACGTTTCCACCTTTGTCTCTGCCGTTCTGTTCGAGCTGTCACACAAACACCAAGAAGTGACAACTGCCATCTTCAACCTCCATCGCAACTCCTCAACAAGCATGAATTCCGACCCCAACTTACATATCCACAATCCCCCATTGAACGGTGCTGGATCCGAGGTAAATCGGTGTGCTACCACTCGACGCAAGACCAGCCGGCGGTCACCTTCCAAGCGTCCGAAGGGCATGAATCCTCTCACTCTATCCGACTTTCCCACTCAATCGGATTCGAGCCACCACAGCAGTGGTAGTAGTGACAGGGGCAGCAGTTCCTCGGCCGGTTCGTTCAATGTTCCTCATTCAGCTCCAATCTGGCGGCCTTGGTGACGAACAATTTCCTTTTTCAAGATAGGACTAATCTCTTTTTCTCAGATTTTTGCACTCAATACAGATTTGCTACTACGTTGGCAGGAAGATGAAAGTTCCTTTTGTTCCACTCGGTACTCTAATTCTCAAGCGATATACTGGTGCCCTATACCAAAGTTTGAAATTTAGACAGCTGGGTAGCGTGCAAATTTTTTCGCATGTCATGCATTAGGTTCATGAGCGAATCGGTTAACTGGACTAGCGTGCTTTCGCAGTATCAGTGCTTACGCACCCCAGTGGGTTACGCAGTGATATCAGTTTATTACGCCTGCTTAACAAATAGCCAATCATTTCATTCAGCATAACCCGTTTAAAGTTTGTCACTTCTTGAAAACCGTTGAGCAGTATTACAACCTCTGTAGCAATACTTCAGATCATTTCGAAATTGGCGTGTCCTTTCCCATCTTCCTCTCTATGCGCATCATGGCGTTCATCATGACCGCCACATCTTAGAATAGGAAGTTGGCTTACATCGCTACGACTCTGTCATAGTATTTTTGTCCCGTCAGCAGTCGTGGAATGTCAACACTGGCGTAAACGCCAGCGTTGTGGATTGATTATCACTCATGCGCACCTTCGTTCTGTCAGGCCCCCTTCTCGTGCGGAACGCGACTCCCTGCGTCAGAATAGAGATTTAAAGTGCACCATAGGCAGTTTAAGCTGGTTGACCCTGTCTTAGGAATTCTGACACACACACACACACAATAGCTGTTACCAGGGTCCCACTTGGTCGATGCATTTGGTGTATGAGTGCGTTGGATACCCAGCCCCGCTACCGAATGGACTTGACATTTTTCTCCTCCGAGCACGTCAATACCGAGGCATCAGCGTGGGCTTACCGTCTCAGGCGACCAGACCATCTGATCAACTTGGATTCACCGAGCTTTGGTAGCTGATGAACAGCGTTCCGATTCGGCCTTGCGCGACCCCTTATCTATGGCCGTTCGGTGGATTGTGTACCGATGGTCACCGGAGCCTCTGCTTCACATGGCGGTTTGAACACCGTTCAGTGCGACGAGGGACAGGTCGGTTCCTCAGGTTGAAAGCGCACAGAGGCAAATGGCAGTTTTGGGTGACAGGTAGCCTCCACTGAGGGGAGTGAGTCATCTATGCTCAATACCTGTCGCGATAGGTTTGGAACGTGTTCGGTACTCAACTTAGTTGATATTTCCCTTAATATTCCTTTGGCATTGGCGGCACCAAACCTAACTGTCGGTCGCAGTAGTTCAGCTTGCAAAAGCTACCTGAAGTGCAATCGAGGTGATTGACTGATGGCGGTAAAATGCAGGTGCTTGACGGTTAACGCGGTTAAGTTTGAATCATAGAGACCATTGTTCTAAACTACATACTCGACTAGACCGTGCTCAATGCAATCCATCTGGTGATGGCATGTGGCCTAGAACCGTATACTAACTAAGACTAGCGGAAGGACTGTACTTATCCGAGGTAGTGACGCAACCGTCGCTGTTGAACCTTCGAACGCGTCACCGGACTGTTTGGTGGCAATCACGACCACGGCCTATTGGGGACTTCGTATGTCCGTTTTGTGGCAATTGTTCACGTAATGTTGTGCCCTCATTAACTACCACACTCTAAAGATAAGCACTGGATTTGTGCTACTACGGCAGTTTAATAAAAGCACCTGCAATTCGGTTGAAGGTCTAAGTTGCTTACTTAGAAATATCTACATGATAGCGCTGTGCTATTGTGGGTCTTACACCATTTGCATTTCCCTTCATATGTATCAGGTTTCTGGCATCAACGATCATCTTTTCTTTTTTAAAGCTCTGGAATTAATGACTAGTGAACTCTTCCTTATTCGGTCAATATGGATCACCTCCGGTCCGTCCAGTGAGTAGCTGTTATTGTTTTCTACCAGCACTCTAAGTTTTTGTTCGTAAGGCGATCACTCGACATTTCTGGTCCCCCAATGTTTTAGAATCCACAAAATGGTTAGAATCCGCTTTTCCTGTGGACACCGGACTCAAATTACATATTCCACAGTAAGTCGTATGCATTCAGCTAACAATTAGGGGAAAAGCGACTAGTCGAATCGGATTAAAAGTCCTTATTTTTATGACATTCCACACCTTTTCCGAGCAACCGAGGTCCTACTGTGACAACACGCAGAAATCATTTCCATAAGAACACTTCTTGAGATCCTGGTCCCCAGCTTGCATAGACGAATCAATTGGTGCGGTAAACGGGCCACATGACGTTTAACTAAGTTGAATTAGAGGAGCGTCTTGACTGATCATCCATAGAATTGACCGAGGTCATCTTGAAGCTGTATGCGATTATCTGGCGCTTTGATCGCTCGCTGTATCTTGGTGCTGTCAGTAGGAAGCAGACACTTCGACTTGGTTAAGGTTATCAGATGTTTAGTAAACATCAAGGAAAAAGTGGCCCCGATGTCGTAACTTTCTGTTTCTTGCATTCGACCGGGATAGCACCTGACATGGATGCGTGCACTTTTATCGCTAGACAGTTGTAGTAGAAAAAGTTGGCGATCCACCAGTGCCTTCTCTCCGAAGGAGCATAGGGTGATCCAACTGATCGAAAGCTTTATGGAAGCCAAGATGAACTGCGTTGACTCCCACATCGACATCTACTGCTTCAGTCTAGCTAGTACCATCAGTGGTTTTTTTGCGCACGACCTATTCCGTTGAAGCCATGATTTTGGGCGATGTGTCCAACTTCATGCAAGGGGAACATCCGTGTGTCAGCAAGGATCATTTCATAATCTTTGCAGTTACTGAAATAAGATTCGCTGGATCAGATGAGTGCCACCGTTACAAACGACAGATCTTATCCCGCCTTTTCACCTGGTGGAGCAAGTCTCACAACAAAAGTAGTGCCAGAAGAGTCAGGTCAGCCAAGTTCAGCCAAGCCATCAGCTGCCACGAGAATCACCTTTCGGTGGATGGCTGCAACCCATGGAGAGTTGTGTGTGTTCATACACAACAGCTGTCTCAGGTAGAAAATATCAGGCCCAATGTAGATGATTAGATTTCCTTCCTGAAATGGTGAGCAACTTGTCGAGCCTATAAAGCCTATAGGTCAGAGATAAGATATTGTGAATAAAGCCTGAACATTGTTCCAGGAGCTGCTTGGGATTTTAGAGTACATGGGTTGAAATCGCCAGCGACTATAAGGTAGATGTGTTTACAGTTCATCAGCCTCTCCAACGCGTCTACAACTTAACTGCTTCTCAGGTGTGAAGGACCGAACAAACGTTGTTACCTCTTTGCTATAGACAACCTCACACGGAATAGAACACTTTGGTTTCCGATTCTTACGTGGGTGCGCACTTGAGGCCGCTGTGGAAGTACAGAGCTACCTCACCAGCTACTTTAATTGAACTATTCTGCAGAACAGAAAAAACCCGGTAAGGCGAATTCAGGATCGGTGAACTTGGATTGTAAACATTTTTCCGTGATGGCCATGAGGCCCAAAGCTTTTGAGGCTTAGGGAGGTCACAATTCGGCTAATTCACTAAGCCCCGGACATTTGTGTACATGTGGCGGAGCTTCTCCAATACCAGAATTGTGCTGAATGCAGTGGATGAAGCGAGTGTATCTACGCAGATAGATGTAGGGTCGGTGGACAATCGTATTTTAATTCGACTGCCGCTAAACAATTTCATACCAAGTATTACTGAGGTAATTCGTTTGCAGTTTAACCTACAAATGCAATGTGCTTTTCAAAAACTATGGGTATAGACACAGTTTTACCTATCACTGTTTCGAATAAAGTAATTTCTGGGCAACAGAATTGTCAGATGGACGTATCTTGATATTCGCTTCTTTTATCTGCAACTTACGATCAGCCTTCTGCGGGCTCCACACCATGCGTGTAACGCGTTCGTTTTATGCTAGCGTAGTTGTCACCACTCTTAGCCAAAACGAACGACATGGTCTCACGAACCGTCCTTCACACGTGTCAAGTGAAAGCTAACGACATACGCACCTGAACCGAGGAGATGGAAATGAAGATTGGACTTCAGCAGGAGCGCTTTGACTGACTCGGCGAAAGGTGAATACTTGGTTACGCACCGCCGATTATAATACGAGTCTCGTGAAGTATACACTTTAAGCATGAGTCCTTATGCGCCTGTAGATGACGCGAGGGAGGCGGGCCGCAGTTTAAAGTAGTTGTGTTTGGGTCACACGCGTAGGAAGCGTGGGCGCACATCGCGCGATTTTGTTATTACTTGCATTCCTTTAACACTCGAAACTATTTGTGTGCGTTTTGGTATCCTCGGACTCCTTTCCTGGTATTAAGAAGCAGGTAGCTTTGACATCGACTGAGCTGCGACCCAGTGGATAGGAAGTGCCCTATGTATGCACTGTCACCCTCAGGTCTTGCGCTGAGGACTCTGTTGCCTTATGTGGCAAAGTGCGGTTACCCACGTGGTACTTGTCTGGTTAATGTTCGCTTGCTTAGCGTCCGTTCTAGGGAATATCAGAGCAAATGGATATCCTGGCCAGAACCTCATTTCCCTCGTTCTTTGCACAAGAGGATTCCCACTGTGTGCATCGTAAATGATCTATAGCATAAACAGGTGCACTGTCTTCGCAGCAAACATGCGGCTTCCTTCAAATATCGATCCTTCGTGTGAGATCAGTTCTTCGCGGAGGCGAAAAGTTGGAGTCAATTCCTTGGGCAGCTCCCTTAATCTACAAACCAAAGGTTTCATATAGTTTACTCAAGTATTCTGCATAGCCCATATTCAACTGTGTAACGATAGAGATCCTGCGGACGCTGTTTAGTGACAGCAATCAATTGCGTTGCATGAGCCAGATCCGTCACTTTGTATTCCGATAGTATCTGGAAGGCAAGCTCTTTACGTCCTACTTGCAGTGTAAATCTTGGACACTGCTTGATAGCCAATGTCAAAGTTGTGCACCTCGACAGGTGTTGTGGAACCATGTGTAGCGTTTATTAACAATTTCTACAAGTA